TGTTCCAAAGGCTAAAAATAAAAAAAGTTAAAAAAAAAAAAAAAAGCCCTGGGTGGGGCTCCGAGGGCCCCATTCCCCGCCCCTGGGACCCTGGTCCCGCCCAGAGTGCAGCCGGATCCCACCAGGAGCCCTGACCGCCGCCCGCCCCCTGCTGGCCTGCAGCCCCTGCGGGGTGTGGGGACCACGCGCACCTTTTCTGCAGGATGATCTCCAGGTCGCCCTGGGGCGTGGGCCTCAGCTCCTCCACGTTCACTCTCAGGGGGGCGCTCTCGGTGTCCAGCAAGGAGATGTCGCTGGCTGCCATGGCCACGGAGTGCCACGTCCCTGCCACCTAGGGAGCGGGCTTGATCGGCACTCCGGGGGCGGCAAGGGGACCCCGTCCCCACGGTGGGCTCTCTGTCCCACCCCGACCTAAGGCAGCCCTGAGACACCCCCTCCTTGGCACCCTGAGGAATGTTCTCCCTAAACTCACTCTGAGCCCCAAGAAGGACCCAGAGGAGGCCATCACACAAGTGGGAATATTTGGATCTTGGGGAGACGTGGCTGGAGGAGGGGAAAGGTTGGGGGACAGAGAGACCCTATTAGGGGCTTAACTGTGTCCCTTTAACCCCCAGAGCCTCAGAACATAACTCTTTGGAGACAGGGTCTTTAAAGAGATGACAAAGGTAAAATGAGGTCATTAGGGTGGGCCCTGATCCAGTGTGACTGATGACCTTATAAGGAGAGGAAATTAGGACGCAGGGATGACCAGGTAAAGACACAGGGAGAAGGCAGCCATCTACATGCCCAGGAGAGCGGCCTCAGGAGAAACCAGCCCTGATGACACCTTGATCTCAGACTTCCAGCCTCCAGGATGCAAGACGATAGCCATGTTGTTTAAGCGGCCCTGTCGGGGGTATTTGTTAGGGCGGCCCTAGCAGGGTGATGCGCACCCCAGACATCACGGCCTCCCCTGTCTCTCCTTGGCCTCTGAGACCCCAGCTCCCCTGCCCGCCCTGCAGCTCACCACCCACCCAGCCCCCCTCGAACCCTTTGGATGTCCAGGTCCTCCATAGTCTGGATGACGTTGACAGCCTGGGTGCCACACGTGAGGGCCAGGGCCAGGGCAAGCAGGAGGCACATCATGGCTGCAGCCTTGGTGGCACTTCTGGGCTCTGCAGGGAGAGGATGGCCGAGGCCCTGGGCTCGGGGTCTTATATGGGGGGAGGGCCAGCCGGCCAGCCTGTGCTGGGCTCCCCGCCACGCAGCTCCCCGAATCCCCTGTGACTCGCCCTCAGGCCCTCGGGCGGCTTCCTCACCTGGGACAATAGGAGGCCTTCTGCCCTCCGAGGCCAAGCAGGAAGGTCCCCTGCGTCCCCGGGACTGGACGGCTCCTGCTTGGCCCCAGAGAGGAAGGGTCTGGAGTGTGGGTCCAGGCTGGCCGCCAGCATCAGGAACACTTCCTGGGTCGGGCTCTTGGACAAGGACAGGTCAGAGCCAGCACTGAGGACAGCTGTGTCCTGGAGGGCGGGCCCGTGGGTCGGCCGGGGTCTGGAGAGCCCCATGCCAGGAAGGACCCAGGGACGTGAGCTAGGGGGTGGCCGTCTGCCCTGAACAAGGGGGTCACGTCACCCTCACCCATCACCCCTCTCTTGCGGGCTGCCCTTCCTGGGGGCTCCACCAGCTCTCAGGGCCTCCCAGCCGGTCCTGCTGAGCGAGGCCTCCCGAAAGGCTATGGTCCCGCTGGGTTCCTCCTGCTTATGGTACACTCTCCTGTCTCGGGCTTCGGCTCCTCCAAACCCCACGGACGTGGCCTTGGGCGAAGGGTTCTCTGCGGTCACCTCACCCCCTGCAGGCTGGGGTGAGGGTGACGTGGGGCTCAGGTGGAGCTCCAAGGATGGGCCTGGCCTGTAGTGAGAGCTCTGCAAGTGTCCGCTGCCCAGTTAGGGTAGCAATAAAGACAGCAACGCTGACAGCGTTGACAGTCATCATAACGCCCAGAGCCACCCAGCTGGGAAGGTGACCCGACCTTTGGGGGTCCAGCAGAGCAACACCGCGTGCTCCATCTTGGTAAGTGTGATAGAAAGGTCCACAGTATCTGAATCTTCAATCTACCAAATCTTACATTTTAAATCTCCTAGGGCACTTCCCTCCATACCACACAAGGCTGCAGCAAGCCGCCTTCAGCACCTTGGGAGGCATGGGGCCCTGGCGCTGGGCATGTACCTAAGTCTGGAGGGAAATCGAGCAGGGCGCAGAATTATCTGTTTCGCTGAGTCCACCTTGACAACAACACCCCCGGGGGCTGTGCATGCCCTGTGTCCCGCGCCAAGGGGGTGCAAAGGCCATCAATTGACATTCCAAGTGGTTAACCTGCTCATCTCGGGGTGGTGGGGGCGTGGACTTTGGGGTGGGGGAAGGGGGCAAGGTGGGGATATCTCCCGATGGTGGGAGCCTTGGAGGGTCGGCCCCTGTGCCCCCCCACCCCCGACGTATAGGGTCTTTCCAGGTGGCCACTGTCATTGTCAGCATCTTGGGAGGCTAAGGGGTCTCCTAGACTAGCTCTGGCTTGCTATCTGGCCTCTGGTTTCTTTCCTGTAGAGACCACTGGTTACTGTACCAGGAAAGAGCCTGTGCACTGGAGAGACTGTAGGACCCCAGGCTGCCCCCAGACTCCCCTTTCCCAGGG